ATTATGGCTCTAATTTTAATTCATGAATTGATTAATTGCTTTTTGTGCCACGCGTTTCCTCCACCATGCTTCACAGTGCAGACTGTGTACCTCAGGGTCATGTGTGGTTGCTTTTTTCCCCCCACAGGAAGTTTTGCATAAAGGAAAAGCAGTTAAAATTTTGGATAACTAAACGATTGTGCATAAGGCTGCACGACAGTCATAAACATGACAAAACACTTAATATGAGTACAGCTATGAATGTATTATAACTGTTGTCATGAAGTGTCATTTGCTAAATAACACCACTTTTAATGCAAAGTTGCATTAAATGTTGGATTACAAGTGTCAACTTTGCATTATTTGGCAAGTGGTGACATTTTAATTGTATTCCATTAAAAGTGTCATTATTTACCGAATGCCACTTCATGACAACAGTCATGAGCATTCATGCAGACTCCTTCATGTTCATGGCTCATGTTATGTCATGTCAGTCTTATGCACACGCCTCCAAATAAAGTGTTCCCAATTTTTCTGTTTGCTGCGTCTCCTACATGGCTTGTAGGCAAACCGAAAACTTTTTTTCTCTTCGCACGTCTTTTCTGATCAGAGGGACTAATAGCCGCCCTCATCCCACCTGTCGCTCCAGACCGAGCCCGCATCTCGTCCGCACTCACCCACATCTCGTTTCAGCCAGGAGATCCATTTGACCCAATGTCTAATGTGAACCAATTAAGGTCTTTACATGCGTGCACGCTCCGCGACGTGGAGCCGAATCTCTCTTAATACCGGTTAAATACACGTCCCTGTTGCTATAATACACCTACACACACTACAGCGGTGTGCGCCATGTGATTATGAGGCGATATAAAGCCTTCTGCAGAACCTGACTGAATGAGCTATCTAATGGGCATGGGAACTAATTCCAGGGCAAAGGGGATTAAAGGCTAAAGCAAGAGGGAGCAGCGCGGGGCTGGCGCTCTCTGGCAGCTCAGAGTGCAGAGGGCGGAAAAACAGAGATGATGTATAAATGCACAGAATCCTTGCCTCCTGAATCCTATTTTGCAGAATAGCATTAAAACTGGCATCTTGTTTAATCCTGACAGTTCTATATTTTCAGACGGGGTGAGGGTGGAAGGGGGGGAGAATGAAATATTTAATGATTCAGCCAAGAGGAGAGAAAAAAAGGAAAATATTCTAAAGGAAAATCCAAATAAGCCTCGGAATTTGCTGAAAATCTAGATTTTTAAATATTTTTTTTGTCACTGATTACATCTAATGTCTGTGAAATAATTGATAAAAGCTGTCTTGGCAGTTTACAGAGTCTACAGTTGAAGCCAGAAGTTTACATACACTGAATAAAAGGACAGATGGATTGTTTTTCTCACTGCCTGAAGTCAAATCAGACCAAACCTCTCTCTTTTTTTTTTAGGTCAATTAGAACAAAATTAGTTCTACTTGCTAAATATGACAATAGTGAGAGAACGAAAATGTCAGAGATTTATTCATGAATGTCTTCAGAATCAGAAGTTCACATTGGTTTCCTCTGTGTTTGGTAGCGTCGTCTTTGAACTGAATGACTGGAGTCAAACCTTTTGGGTCTCCTTCCAGAAGCTTCTCATGACAGTTGGCTGGAGTTTCGGTCCTGACAGAACCGGTGACTGCCTCACTCACACACACACTAACACACACATGCATTTTCAGATCTACCCACCACTACTCCATAAAACAGAGTGGGGATTTGTGATGACAAAACCAAAATATTGACTTTGTCCTTAAGTCACTTTGACAGTATGCTGAGGGTTACTGTCCATTTGGAAGACCAATCTGGACCTGAGCTTCTACTTCCTGGTTGATGTCTTCAGACGATGCTTCAATATTTCTACATCATGTTCTTTCCGCATGACTGGTGAACTATTTTATGAAGTGCAACAGTTCCTCAAAATGATGCTGCCACTTCACAGTTAGGTACAAGCATCACAGTTTTTCCTCCAAAAAAAACTGCTTGGTCATTACGACCAAGCAGTTCCACTTCAGTTTCAATAGACCACAGGACATGTCTCCAAAAATGAAGGTCTTTGTCTCAATGTGCATTTGGTAAAGGTAATCTGTCTTTTTATGCTTCTTTTGGAGTGATGGCTTCTTCCTCCCTGAGCGGCCAATCAGGACAGTTTAACTGTGGATGATGACTGTTTCCAGCTTCAGACAGTATCTTCACAAGGTCTTTTGTTTTTTTTTGGGGGGGGGGTTTCTGGGACACCGACACAGAACCCGTCTTGTACCGGAGCAGTATAATTGTTGGACTTATAATAAGATATTTTCACGATGTCATAAGTGAAATAATCTGCCAGTGGAATTGGCACTTTTTCATCAATCTTAAGGAATTACTGACTTAAAAGCTTAAATTTCTTCTTGAAAAGTTACTTGTAAGTTGGTTTTGTCTGTTTTCAAGTGTACCAACATGTGTGCACTAGAAACTGGACCACAAACACTTGATCAGACTTTGTGTTTTTTCAATGAAGACATTTTCCTGGTTACAGAGACACTTTCTAAAAATGGCTCCTGGTGATGCCAAGCTAAACTATGAGGTCTAATCTGGAAAACCATCCTGTGATTCTGATAACCCCACATGCTCCCGGCTCACAGGCTCACTCTGGAAGGAGTGTGTCTGTTTTTATTCCAGCTCCACTAAATGTCACAGTGAAAAACGCACAGTGTGCGGCCGTTGCACTATTATTTACATAATTACACCAATGAAACGTGTTTAAATAGCTTTCTGTTTTCTCTACAAAGCTCTCATCAGCAGTCATTACGCATGCATCAGGTGTTCATTCAGACAGCGTTTCTTCGAGCACCTCTGACAGCCGCTATTACGAGGACACTGTTGTCATGCCAGCGGCACTTTGAGCCGAGGATACGAGTCCAGAAATAGCTGAACCTGCTGTTCGGCTCTGTTCAAAACACAATTACAGGAAGCGACTCTTTAAATTGTGCCACAGTCCAACATGCAGGGCATGAATCACCACGGTAAGCGACTCCCAGCAGGAAGAAAACTTCAGATTAGCTTATGTGCAGTCCATTTTTTAATAAAATAATTTTTAGATTAGAGGTCATGGAGCTGGACCGTACGGATTCTCTGTCTTCTACTTCCTGTTAATTCAAAATGCTGGAGGAAAAGGAAGCAGGGTTTTAATCTGGAGGTAATGTTGGCCAAAACATGATAAAAAAAAAAAAAAAATCTCCCCCAAAAAAAAAAAAAAAAAAAAAAAAAAAGTAAATGATTCTCGTCAGGAAGATATAATTGCATCATTCTTATACAGAATCTGGACATAATTAATTACAGTTTTGATACTATATTTATGCTTAGGGCTGCAGCTAATGATAATTTTAGTAATCAATTATTCTGTCAGTTATTTTCATGATGAATTGGATGAAAAAATGGCACATTCTGCACATTTTTACGTTTAACCATTTAAGCCCTTTTTTGTACATAAGAAATACACTAAAAATGCAAATATAAAATTAATTCAGTTTCCTTTTTTAAATAACAAAATAAGTATTTTTGTTGCCTAAAATGCTACGACACAGCAATCGTTCAGTGTATGCTTGACAACATGTGAAAGGCTCAGAAAAGCCTGTCACCATAGGCAACAAATCAATTAATTGCATGATAAATTAAAATGTGCTCAATAATTTCCATTTGGACAATCAGAGAAATGCTCTAGTTTAATATTGTTGAAATATTTGACATGTAGAACTACATTTTTTTCTACAAAAATAAATAATTAGCTTTGAAAAGCAATTTTGGCAACAGAGACTTGATAATTATTGTTGTTTTGTTAGTTTATTTTGGATATTTAAAATGTCTTACAGTTCCAGTAATAAAAGTTCTTTAAAGAATAAAGTTATTTGATCTTTGACAGAGGTGGACTTGCATTAGGAAGCCATTATTATTATTATTATTATTATTATTATTATTATCATATTGAAAATGGTTTCAAAATGACCACATAATCATTTATCACAATATATTCTGGGACAATTTATCGCACAGAAAAATTTGTTATAACAGACTTAGGCTCAGCTCTTTCTGCTAAGCTTAACATGAATATGAATATTATGAATACAGTGTATGGATAATCTGTTGATTTTTGGATTAGCAAGTTAATAACTGAACAGCAAAAGTGCTTCAGAGTTTGTTTGTTTTTTAGAAAATTTAAACCAGGTGAAACAGATTTTCAGGTGAAGTTTATTTATTTATTCATTTTTATCTTAAATGCAGAATGTGCGTATTTCTTTGTACAGTTTAATTACAGCTCTGACTGCATGGCTCTTTCAGCAAATTGCCTTTTTTGAGTGTGTAGACTCAAAGTTAATTAACTGAACACTAAGTTAGCAAGCTAGTAATCAATTAATCGTTACTAATCCGATTAATCGTTTCGGTGAGCTTCAGAAGTGGTCATTCCTTCACAAACGCTCCGTTTCTCCGCTGCGGTTCAAACCTTTTCTTTCTCAACTGGAGCAAATATTTTCAGGGGAATTTAGAGTAAAAGCTTTGAGCCCATTTTTATTTTATAAACAGAACAGTAACAAGGCGAGGTGGTTACATCAACAGAGGGAAAAAATGCTCAGTTTATGAAAACATTTTACTTCTTCAAGTTTCCATCTTTTCCATAATTGGCCCAATTGCACCGAACAAACAACCTGCACTGGGGTGCTAAAAGCACTGATGTGAATAAGAAAAGGTCAAAACCTCGAATGTTCCTCCAGTTTTACTTGGAAAGACACAAAAAAAAAAGAGATAATGGTTGGTTATAATCCTTTCACAATGATGTGCCTAAAGATTGAAATGCAACAGTTCTGTTTGAAAAGTTAAAAACACAAGATAATCTGGGATTTATGACAAACTATTTGGGGGTTGCAAAAAATAAAAATAAGAAGTTGGGGGTTGGAAGAGTTTTCTTCTGTAGGAGATCATTAAAACAGGAAGACAAAGACCAGATAAACTGCAGACGTCTTACCGAAATATTCGTCGGACGGAGGGTTGTCCATGTCGAACAGCATCTTTTTGGTCAGGCGCGCTAGTTCGTCCTCTGGGTGCGAGGCGGGAGCGCCGCCCTGGAAAATAAACAAAAAAACACAAAACGTCGGGGTTAAAAGCTGAACGAGAGAAGAAAACTGAAGCACAGTCAAACAAAACACACAGAGTAATTAACATGCAGCGTATGCCTTTGCCTTCTGGGATATTTGACCCTGGTTGAGGGCCCAGACCAGAAGGTTTGCTTTTGTACCAAAACCCCCCAAAAAAATAAACTGACCCCCCGACTGAATCTGAAGGAAGAGGTAAATATTATCAGAAAGCTGCTTTCAAGCTGGGAGCGTTTGGGGAGGCAGGTCAGGTGAGGGGTATTTAGATGAGATCTGAAATGGATTCTAGATTTGGTGACATAACCCTCTGAAGTCGTCTCTTTCCTATAAGCCCGCCCGCCTCCTTATCGCGCCGTCTCTGACATCTGTCCTCTGTGTGTTCTGCTTTGGGGCTGACGTGTCGCGTTTGACATTTTCTGCCAATCATCCTTTAAAGCTTGAAGAGGAAAAAATAAATACATTTAAAAAAGCTTGTTCTGCTGCAGCTCCAGGCCTGGGCTCCATCCCTCGTCTCAGGTGCCTGTTTGTCCTTTTTCGGGGATCCTCCAGGGGCGATGCGTTGGATTCTCTCTGTTTTGCTGAGCGGAGAGGCTTTTTTTTTTTTTTTTTTTTCTTCAGATAACGGCCACACGTCGATGGCCTTCCTAGATCTTTGCAGCGGATTTGATTTTCAATAACCCAGAAATCTGTGCCGACCTTTGAGCGGCTCCTAATTGCGACACCTGGGAGAGGTCGCCGTGGTTTCCGTCTCTTTAATTCACGCTTTCATGCGGCAGACGCACAAATCTGCATCTTCAATAAAAGATGCGAATACAAAATACTTGTGGAGGCAGAATGTATGGGTAATTATCCTGCAGTTATCGAATGTGTATTATTTGACTGTTTACCTCTAACCTTTAGGTACTTAGCCTGCGTATAATGAGGGATCCAAAATCCACCCTGGGAAATTCATTACACTTTATCTATTGATATTTATGTTTTTCAGCAAAATGTCAACAATGATTATAAAAAGCTTTTGTGTTTTCTATCTAAAGGGCAGACAGGTGTTCACGGTACAAAGCAGAGTATTCAATAGTGTAGATTGTCCAAATAGCAGGATGCTGGAATAAAATCCATGGAGATCAATGAAGTGAATTTCACTCCTTCAAAATTACTGATGTCAAAGCAAAAATTTGTTTCGCCTGTTGTGACAGTAGCTGATGGGAACAATGACGTGATAGGGCTAACGTAGATCAGATTTTGAAAAAAGCAAGAGTAAATGTCCAGTAAAAAACTTAAAAATTTTGAGATTACTTTGACATTTTCTAGAAAAAACGTATAGAAAATTTAACGACTTTCGAAACTCCGAAATTTCTGTTTTTTTCTAGAAAATTTCTCAGATTATTCTCAAAATGTGGGTTTCTACTAGCAAATATTCAACTTTTCAAAGTCAGAAATTTCACATTATCTTCTAGAAAATGTCTATTTTTAAGCTCAAAAGCAGTTTTTTTTCCAGCAAATTTTAAACTTTTCAAACTCAGAAACATCTAAGCTTCTTCAAGACTATAAAAAGTTCTGAGTGTTTTCGTAACAAATTTTCAACCTTTGGAGCTCAGAAACGTATTTGTTTTTTCCAGTTAATTTTTTTGTCAGAAATGTACTCCTAATATGCTGTCGTAGGTTTGAGGTTTGAGGCCTCGTCCACTCTAGGGACAAAAATCCTGCCGAGAGATTAACGCCACCCCTGAAAGCAAACAGTCTGAAAAGCTCAGTCTGTAACGGAACCATACTGATTGGATATCCAGAGGTTATTACACTACGTGGCTTAGCGCCACAACAACAGCACACAGGAGAACTGAGTAGCAGAACTGAAGGCACAAGTGCATCATTCCGGGGATACGCTGTACTTTTTATTCAAGTTGCTATGCCCTTCAGTGGCCGCAAGGGGAAAAGGAGCTGCAGTTTCTGCAACCCAAATGGGTAAATGTTAAATTATAACAACTTAGGTTGACCACTATGTCTGGAACTGGACAAACTTCACAGTTTCACAATGAAGCAACATTTTATTAGGACTGAAATAATTAATCGGATTAATTGTGATTAATCAATCTTTTGAAATAATCGTCAATTAATTCAGTAATCGATTAATCATTAACTACAGTATGCAGACTCACAAATGGCCATTTGCTGAAAGAATACCTTCAGAGCAGTAATTATATCAGAACTGTACGGAAAATACATTTATATTTTACATTTAGGAATGCAAAGTGCAAAAAAAAAGGAAAAAACATTTGTATATAAATATGTTTTACCCAGAACTCCTAAAGTGACATAGTCTTTGCTTCACTTTGTTCAGATTCTGTAATTGTATTTTCTTTTTTTAATCTCCAATTAAATACCTTTTGCTACACAGTGTGGATGTTAAAAAAAAGCAGGGAGGACTGAGCTTTTAACACGTCGATGTTGGAAGGATTTTTCAGCTGCAAACGATAAATCGTTCACTAAATGAATGCTACATTACTGCATTTAGGCAATAAAATATTTATTTTCTTATTTAAAAGAGGAAGTGATTTGCTTATTTACACCTTAAAATGTATTTCTAATATTATATTAAACGGTTAAATAAAAAATGGGAAGAATATGCCCTTTCTTTAATGTGATTAATCAATTAATCGCATTCATCAATTAAATAATCAGTCGCAATTAGGACTCAACCATTTCACCAACTAACAGCTTTGCTGAATTATATGTTCTGTCTGAAGTCTCCTGTCGTTTACTGGCATACTATGACAGAAAACAACACATTTCCATTTGGTCAAAAATCAACATCCGTTTTCCATTTCTAACCATTATGATCCACTTAAAGCACGTCTCTCTGATGCGCTGTACCCAAACAATCGAAAAAGTCTGTTTTTTTTTTTTGTTGTTGTTTTTTTTGCTAAGGCGTGCGTGAGTTTTCCCTGCAAGCCGTGGGAGGGTTCGCCTGCCACGTGCGGAGCGCCATCACGCTGCAGCTCCACGGGGCACACAGAGGTGAGAGAGAAAATGGGCTCATCGTAAGGCTCTGCTTGGCAGCTGAACAGAACTTAAGACCAAATGAACATGAGACGCGCTAGACATCTTTGAGAAACACTCATGAATTAAAAAAAAAAAAAAAAAAACCTTTGCCGATATGTATGAACGATGTGAGGATGTGGTGAATTATTGAGATGATGTAAGAAGATGTAGACTCAATGTTCCATATGGAAGGCAAAGGAATATTTTGTTTAGATGGACAGACAGATTTAGAGCGTTATTTGTTACAGTGGTTTGGATTTAGGCCTGAAATTAGCACATTTTTGTTTAGTGTCATTACAATTTTTATTTATAGATGCCCTAAAATAAATAACTACTCAGGTTCACGCACACGTTTCTGCTTACGTCAAGGGTCATAATGTTTTGCTGGAACTCTTACAAAGTGCCGCATCATATGTATTTATACCAGGGGGAAACAGAAAGTCACGGCGTACTTGAACTAAGTTCCTAGAAACTCAGGTTACATTAAAGCTAAATGTAGATAGTAAAATATTTCAGCTACTTTAAAGGCATAGTTTGGTCACCAATGACTGTGCCACTGGTGATTTTGTTAAAAACACTAATATTTTAAGAGAATGAATGCACACAAATTTGTAAACAATTTTCGGTTGTGGTTTTAAGCTCCTGCATTGAAAGAGAAAATAGTTTTTTTTCTTAGTTCTTTTTAAAATAAATCCTTGCATTAGAATTATGTTTGTTCTTGGCTTAATTTGACATTTAGCAATTATATTTTAAGAATGATTAACAATCCACTGTCATTAATTAGTTTTTACACTTAAATATCTTTTAACGTCTCAGCTGTGGCCTGTAACTCATAGAGGCTTGGTTTCACTCCTTATAAATATTGTTCATAAGACTTGAGTCACAGAAAAGTTAAGTCACGAGTTAAAGTCAGAAATGTTTTGTTTTCTCGCTGACTTAAGTTGCTATCAAATCAACTACTTCTGAAGAGCTAAACTAACTAAGCTAAAACTTTTCCAATTTACCGTAGAAGCTACCTGGTCCTCAAATGTAGAGATTAATGTCAAGGATCAGGAGGGCTTCACTGAGCATGCCCAGTATTGCTTTCTAGACCCAAACAACAGTGGAGCCATTTTGATGTACATCAAACGTGCTTTACTTCAAACGAAAGCTGAACTCAATGCCAGAGAATAAAGGATAAATACTGTCAATTGATTTAGTCATTTCAAGGTTGTCTCCACCTACTGGTACGGCCTAAGCATTACAGGATTCTGACAGTGCTAGCAGAGTTAGCTAGCACTAGTGTTTATGCTAGTGGTAGCTTGTGCTAGTGCTAACTTGTGCTAGTGCTAGCTACTGCTTTTCTAACTTACATTAGCAGCTAGCTATGCTGCAGAGTTACCACTACCTTGTGCATAAACAGGAACTACACATTTCAGAGTTCCTGATTTATCTATGTTAGAGTTTAGATCAGGCCTAAGAAAATCCAACCCGGACCGGCCCAAGCCAGCACTGTCTGTGAGCCCAACCCGAACATCAAGAAAATAACTCTGGCTCGAACCCGGCCGAGTTCGGGCCATAAATCTAACCCTATCCCTACCCCTAACCTCTAACCCTCTAACATCAGTGGAAAAACTTCTGGAAATCCAAATTTGGCTCCAAAGTGATTTGAGCATCAAATGCAGACATAATATTCTGCAATCTGACTCACTGTATGTGAAGAACCTGAATAATACAGAGGTATTCCAATTCACAGATTAGGCCATCTATCTGTACTTTATATCCAGAGGGAGTGAGAACGGTTTAGCTCTGCTTACTGCCCACCATGGATCTGGGAGTGTAAACTTTATGACGCATGACTGCTGCTTGGCCCAGCTTAGGATACGGCCCCGCTGATAAAGGAAGCTCAGACAGTAGGCCTCATTAGCTGTGAGGGATCAACATGTCGGACGGAG